TCTGCGATATCAAAAATTAATAAACCATCTTTCCTGTAAAATATATATATCTGAATTATTGTGATCTGAAAACCAGTAAAAACACAGGTTCCATGGCGAAGAAATGAAATTATGAGCTTAAGTTTTTTTTTAACCACATTGACTTTTCTTCTTTTGGTTGTGAATCTTCAGTGTTCGTGATTCAGGCCTAATAACAAGTACAATAAAAACTTGTTAGTACCATTCGGCCCTTGTCCCACTCACCCGCCCCCTCCAGCTAAGGGATAAAAAAAGTGGCATGCAGCCAAACCCATCGTACGGACAGACATATAGAAACAGAAAAGTAGACAGATAAAAAACACGGTTTTCCACCATAACATTTTACTATTATTGCTGCCATATGTTTGTAACGACCTCAGCTTTAGGCATAATTTATGGATCGGGCAAACTATAATGAAAACAACCAATCAGCTAAGACATGTACCAACACGTATGGTATTAACAACAATCAGCTAAGACATGTACCAACACCTATGGTATTAACAACCAATCAGCTAAGACATGTACCAACACGTATGGTATTAACAACCAATCAGCTAAGACATGTACCAACACGTATGGTATTAACAACCAATCAGCTAAGACATGTACCAACACGTATGGTATTAAAACAACTAATCAGCTAAGACTTGTACCAACACGTATGGTATTAAAACAACCAATCAGCTAAGACTTGTACCAACAAGTATGATATTAAAACAACCAATCAGCTAAGACTTGTTCCAACACGTATGGTATTAAAACAACCAATCAGCTAAGACTTGTTCCAACACGTATGGTATTAAAACAACCAATCAGCTAAGACTTGTACCAACACGTATGGTATTAAAACAACCAATCAGCTAAGACTTGTACCAACACGTATGGTATTATGCACTTTCGGTCGATAATTAACTGAAGTATTATTCTGCTTAATTTATATTAACTTTATTTTTCCATAAATGTCACATAACAGGCAGAACGCTTTATTAGGACGTATGTTAACAGCACGCGCTCAGAAGATTAACTTACATAGAATAGTTCCCTAAACTGCCTAAAGAGGGTAAAAACAAAAAGAGAAGACCTTATAAAATTGTTTAGTGTAAATAAACAATTTAATAAACATATTGTGTTAACATGTTTAATTTAATAAACATATTGTGTTAACATGTTTTTCAAAAAATGTTCATACATTAAAAATCGCTAAAATGCTACGTCGAATACAAATGTAAGATATAATTTATTGACTCCAGTTAATTTGGAAACAACAATTTATCACTTCTTTTACATTTTATTTGTCGTCAAGCGCATAACGACAATGTCCATTTTTCATACAAAGTACCTTGACATATATTCAATCTAATATAGGAGCAACAAGCGGAGTTAGGGGAACAGTCGTTCTGGTCCTGAGCTTCGGAAGAATGAGGCAGACAATTCATTGACCGTGTGGCTCGGAAATATGAAAGTTTATTGGACATCTCAGAACTATTGTAGCCAATGTCACAAACTTCACTGACAAAATTTATAATTAATAAATTAATTGGTATTTTCCACGATGTTCGACTGATGAAGTATCGAGAAATCTTTGTTTGTTTGTAGTTAAGCGCAAAGCTGCACAATGGGCATTCCGAAACTTACCACTGTGCCACAGGGGGGCAGTACTGAGAAAAGTGAAGATAAACGTAAGTTTAACTCTGAACATCAACAAATCAGAAATACACCTACACCATCTAGTGCAATACTGTGGGACACTGCATTGTGTTGATATGGGGATGAAAGGTTAGAACAATGAAATGATAGAAATCATGATGAGTCTGTGAAATATTTGTTCACGGTAGGGGGGGGGGGCATGGGCGTACAAAAATATTAATTCCTAACGTCATTAGATTCATGGACCATAGTTTTCTCATTGCAAAAACTTCAACCATTTTTATGTTATGCCCCCCCTCCAGTGATTTAGTGTTTCAGGTGTTATCTTGGAAGTTTAAATAGATGATTTGTGATTGGTTAAAAGTAGAGAATGTTGTGAAATGTCAACATTTGAACCTAGTGGTAAAAAAAGTTCATCTTAAACTCCATGCTGGGGGGTGGGGATTTGATAGCTGTAAGGGGTGATTTTAGAGGCCGGTGAAAAAAATAAATAAAATTGCTTTATGTTTGAGTTTCACTGAAAGTCAGTTGAAATTGTCTGAACTCGTCACAACGTCAGTGGGAACCCTATAATATCTGAACAACTGCATTAGTCTTTATCGTATTTCACTATCTACGAACAAGGGTCCATATATTAAACACGGACAACACGTAAATATAACTACTTATATGAATATTAATTTTGTGTATAAGTAAATCACATGCGTGTTAGAGATTATACGACAGATAAATAGATTTCAAACTTACACCCTGACAGAGCAAGGATTATAATGTACGACCGCTAGAAACGTTACTAGCATTTAGGCATGTACAGAAACAAAAAATTGGGATAATTTATTAGAGGCATGTACAGAAACACATCTCCTTACAGGGTAAGCAGACCAGGTAATAACGCCAAGGCGGTATCTCAGTATATAAAACAACGCCCACGTTATGGCTTTTTTCTTCTGTAAAAGAATTAGCTGGAATAATCTAAGGAAAGTACAATTACGTAAAAAACGCGCATGATGGTTGTGTATATCACAAGATTAGGCGTCGCTATCTTTCTTCAAGCTTTACCTAGTGGCAGTAGGCTTCACTGCAACCCGTACACACAAAAAAAGCCCAAATCACCACAAGAGCTTCTTTTTTTTTAAAAAAAGTTACTTATCCCAGGTATCGCAACTCGATTTTTAGAGTTATAAGCTTCAAACTTACCGTTTTAAACCAATCACAAATCATCTATTTAAACTTCCAAGATAACACCTGAAACATACTTTAAACCAATCACAAATCATCTGTTTAAACTTCCAAGATAACACCTGAAACATACTTTAAACCAATCACAAATCATCTATTTAAACTTCCAAGATAACACCTGAAACATACTTTAAACCAATCACAAATCATCTATTTAAACTTCCAAGATAACACCTGAAACATGCTTTAAACCAATCACAAATCATCTATT